GGGGGGGGGGGATGTACTGAATTCTTGATGTAAACGAGAAATAGACTTGAATCAGACCGATATTCTGGTTTGCATCTGTCCAAGTCCGACTTGATTTATGCCGTCAAGTCGACATGAAACAAGTCAATTCCCGGCATAATTCAGTCTGATTTAATTCAGACCGATTTTTCGGTCTGATTCAGATCGACTTTTTTTGGGTATGGTTGTAAAAGCTATTGTATTTAGAATAAGCGATGATTTTTTTCTAGGAAAGAAATCATAAACTCAAGGACGAGAATGTTCTCAATTTCAGAAACCGGATGTTCTTGATTCAAAAACCTAAAAATTTTTACTTTTAAAACCCAATTGTTTTGAATTTCAGATAAAAAATTCCCGTAAAATGAGAGAAAATGTCCCTCAATCGAAGTACAATTGTTCCAGATTTGGGGAAAAATGACCAAGAATTAGAACTTTTTTCTCTCATTTTTCGGATTTCCCTTTCAAATGACTGAAGACTTGACTTATTTGAAGAATCCTTTGATCGCTAGTTTCCTGCGGGACAGAGTTCTGAGAAACGGAAATTTTTACTGGAAATCGGAAACTTTTCGTCTCTGTGATATTTCTTCACATGAAGTGGAAAGTTGTTCCAGATTAGAGTGAATAATTAGCAAAATATATCTTTCATACATGTTACAATCAATCATCATTACTGTTGCGTCTGGGTATAATGAAAATAATATTCAGTCATCTCAGCCATAAATGTGGGAGAAAGTTATGGATACTCCGATATAATTGGTAACACAGCACACATTTTGAGTCCAAAATGATCCTGATGGTTTGAAAATTGATATGGCTAGCGAAGGGCAAGAAAATAATTTAACCCTCGCTCACTCGCTCAATGAGCGCGGCGCCGCCCGTTTTCGTTTTTTATATATTTTAGCGTGTTTCTCGATACTTAAAAATTCTGAAAAAGTAGAGTTCTTAGTTCAATCCTTTTGTTACGTGTTGGCGTTGTCAGTTTTTCTCGAGAAATTTGTTTAGCTAAAAAAAGAAAGGAAACGTCGAACGGACAGAAAAGCGGCGCCAGGCCGCCCAGTGCGAGTGAGTTCCTGTCGACCGCTCGAGCAACAGTGTTGCTACATTCACTGCTGCACTTGAAATGCGCGCATAGTAGTAAGCACCACGGTGGCAACAGCGCGGACGGTTTAACCCAGCGGCGCTGCGCTAACCGTGCGACAGATAAAGGCTGGCGGTTGAGAGTGAGTGTTCGAGGGTTAACAAAGATTTAAAGTGGGTGGGTTGACATGGGTTTAAAAGTCGCGCGGAAAAAACATGAATATCTTGAAAACTAGAATCGACAAAGTAGGCCCTTTTCATGCGGACGTTCAAATATTAACATCATTTATTTAGAGATTGTTCAGATATATAACGGAAGATGTAAAGTCATGAATGAATGATAAGTGTCTATTGACGTCAACTTCATATTTTGACTTGTCAGTATTAGAATATACGAATCACCCTATGAAATAGTTCGCTCGATTGAATTACTTTGCAACCCCAATAACTATGATATTAGATGATTGATTGCAACATATTCAAAGAAATATCTTGCAAATAGTTTAATCTTATATGTCAAATATTCTGATTTCAATTTCTTTAGTCAATCAACACAAAGTCACTGGCAAGAATTCTCTTAACACGAGAAATGACACTGAAACTGGCGAACAATTCTGGTGAAAGATAGGCACGACTTTTGGCGCGGACTGTACTCTAGGCGCACTGAGTGCAGGGGCCCTTTTTTTTAAATAATATTTTAAATTATGTTGAAAAAACGATTGAAATTTATTTTCTAAACAATTATCTTTTTTATGCATTGACTTTCGAACTACAAAATTAATTAATTCAATAAATAAATTAATTTATTCACCCGCTCAGTTTTTTTATCTGTGGAAAATAGACGCATGTATCCGGAGGGATGAAAATTTAGGGGGGTGAGGGGGAGGGGTCTGAGGTTACAATTTTATAAAATTTACCCCTCCGGAAATATGCGNACACCCGCATGTATCCGGAGGGATGAAAATTTAGGGGGGTGAGGGGGAGGGGTCTGAGGTTACAATTTTATAAAATTTACCCCTCCGGAAATATGCGGTGATTTTTTATAATTTTTTAAACAATGAATTTTGAGGAAAATACATGAGTATGCGGTTTCTCCGGGGGTTTGAAGACAGCAACATGTATCTGGAGGGGTGAAAATTTAGGGGGGGTGAGGGGGAGGGGTCTGAGACTATATTGTTATAAAATTTACCTCTCCGGAAACGCGCTGATTTTTTAGAATTTTTCGAAAAAAGAATTTCGGGGAAAATACATGAGTATGCGGTTTCTCCGGGGGGTTGAAGACAGCCGCATGTATCCGGAGAGGTGAAAATTTAGAGGGGCGAGGGGGAGGGGTCTGAGACTACATTGCTATAAAATTTACCCCTCCGGAAACATGCGCTGATTTTTTATAATTTTTTAAACAATGAATTTCGGGGAAAATACATGAGACTGGGGTTTGTCTGGGGGGTTGAAGACACCCGCCTATATCCGGAGGGATGAAAATTTAGGGGGATGAGAGGGAGGAGGTTGAGACTACATTGTTATAAAATTTATCCCTCCGGAAACATGCGCTGATTTTTCGTAATTTTTTAAACAATGAATTTCGGGGAAAATACATGAGTATGCGGTTTCTCCGGGGGGTTGAAGACAGCCGCATGTATCCAGAGGGGTAAAAATTTAGGGGGGCGAGGGGGAGGGGTCTGAGACTACATTGTTATAAAATTTACCCCTCCGGAAACATGCGCTGATTTTTTATAATTTTTTAAACAATCAATTTTCATCCCTCCGGATATATGCGGGTGTCTTCAACCCCCCAGAAAAACCCCAGTCTCATGTACATTCTTATAAAATTTACCCCTCCGGAAACATACGCTGATTTTTTATAATTTTTTGAAAAATGCATTTCGGGGAAAATACATGAGTATGTTGTTTCTCCGGGGGGCTGAAGACAGCCGCATGTATCCGGAGAGATGAAAATTTAGGGGGGTAAGGAGGAGGGATCACAAATTTCATTTTTACAAGAGTCATTCCTTCGGAGACATGTTGGGATTTTTTATCATTTTTTTAACAATCGATTTCGGGAAAAATACAAGATAATGGGGTTTTCGCAGGGGGTTGAAGACAAATGCGTGTATCCATAGGGTTGCACGTTTCGTTCGAAGAGGGGGGGGGGCAGATTGTAGTTTATCTGTATTCATAAATTCAAGCCAAGAAGAATGCGATTTCATTAATTTCCGACATTTCCTGCAACTTATTCATGAAAATGGTATAGAAAGAAATGTTACGTCTCGCATGATGAAATCTGTATTATGCTTATTATTTTTTCATGCAATTTTTAGCGTTAATCAAGAGTAATTGAACATCTGGAAGTCTCCATCTATTTAATGCAACTTTCAGTTCATAGTTAAGTTTCGAACAAATGAAATAGTTCGCAAAAAAATATATAGTACAGGAACATGTGCTGGACAGGCTCAAAAATGATTTGAGATGGGAATGAAAGTAACTCAAGAAGATTTATTTCTCGACCCCTCGGAGAAACAACATACTCATGTATTTTCCCCGAAATTCATTTTTCGAAAAATTATAAAAAATTAGCGCACGTTTCCGGAGGGGTAAATTTTATAAAAATGTAATCTCAAACCCCTCCCCCTCGCCCCCCTGAAATTTCATCCCTCCGGATATATGCGGCTGTCTTCAACCCCCCAGAAAAACTCCAGTCTCATGTATTTTCCCCGAAATTCATTGTTTAAAAAATTATAAAAAATCAGCGCATGTTTCCGGAGAGGTGAATTCTATAAAAATGGAATCTCAGATCCCTCCCCCTAACCCCCCTAAATTTTCATCCCTTCGGATACATGCGTCTATTTGTCACAGATAAAAAAACCGAGCGGGTGAATAAATTAATTAATTTATTGAATTAATTAATTTTTTAGTTCCAAAATCAATGCATAAAAAAGATAATTGTTTGGAAAATAAATTTCAATCGTTTTTTCAATATAATTTAAAATATTATTTAAAAAAAGGGCCCCTGCACTCAGCGCGCCTAGAGTACAGTTCGCGCCAAAAGTCGTGCCTATCTTGCGCCAGTTTCATCGTCATCTCTAGAAATCTGTTTTTTTTTCTTTATACGTGAGCCCTTCAGAAACATCAAGGACGAACCTGTGAAAAAGTCGATACTTTTTGTTCTTTCTAGGACCAGGCGACAGAGGTAATTCTATCCCTAGGCCAGGCCTTCGAGGTGGCCTATCAAATGGCTTTGCGGGACAGATTGGGAGGCCAGACGATGAGATCTCAGTCTGCAAATCAATTGGCGACTGTCACCAACAGCACAACGACGACTGTAAAAGCCCCACCGTCAGATTCAGCCCGTGAAAATCCTCCAAATTCTAATCCAATCATCATCACTGATTCAAAAAGCTCAAAATGTGGAAATAATTCTCAAAACACAAACACAAATACGCTAAAATCCAAGTCAAAGCAAAAACAGTCCGAAAAATCAACAAATTCAAATCACATCTCTGACATTAATCCCGGAAACGACTCAAATTCACGCGGGATAAGCATCAGTGTAGCCAGTAATTGCACTACGGGAAATTCCAATGCAAGTACGAAACCATTGGTGAGCCATGGTCGTTCGCACTCTGTGAACGACATCAAAATTAATGGAAATCAGTTGAAGCTTGCACCGACTCCAGTTGATGACATTAGTGTGGGTGTGAAGGACATGAAGGCAGGATCTCGTGCACCAATTGCCCTCTCCGAAGAGCTATAAATTCCATTGAGGTGACATTGGTTATTCTTCAGCAGCTGTTCGTACATAAATAAGAGGAATGCATACACACAGAGCAATGTTTTTTTGCTAAGAGTAATTTTTGGATTTCAATGGCCAAGCTGTGATCACTTATTTATAAATTTGGAAATTCAAGTCTTCGCGGTCATGTGCAACGAGTTATTTCTAGTGTTTTATTGAAATATTATGAATATTTGAGGAGTAATCTTTCCATTTACAAGGATTAGGGTGAAACAATACATTAGGACCTATCGGGCGTTTGTGGCTCTTTTATGGATATCTTTGATGCTTTTCGTGATTGCACATTTCAAGAATCGATCATCTGCGACTTTTTGAAGAATCGACCCGAGGTAAGTTGAAGATACTTGAGATATGAAGATGCTTGAGTTGAAGATGCTTGAGCATATCTGCCAAATTGATGCTGATCATTGTATACCAGAATGTGGAATAAACTATTCCAACGGAAAAACACAATTTTTCAAGATAAAGTGGTTAAATCTGCCAAATACATTATTTAACGTTTTTTAAAAATAAATTCACATAAATACGTAAACATTCCCAGATAATCGGACACTTCAAGATATATAACACGAATGAATTTCGCAGAATGCTCAATACTACTCTTTTAATTACTAGATTATAAATGAATAATCCTCAGATATTAAATAATTAATTCATAAAAACAAATCCTCAATCTTTCAAGGCGAATGATTTTAATTCGTAATAATGAACCTTTTCGATGATTTTTACATAGTAATCAGCCTACTTTTCGATATTTAACCCTCAAAGACTGAGAATCTTATTGAACGAAGTCCACGTAATTTATGATATTCATAATAATTTATGAAATTGATGAAAAAAAGTGTTTAAACAATTTTCCTAGGTATTAGGTTGCATTAAATTTTGAAAAATGCCCCTCAAAAAGTTATTGTGGATGATAGTTTCGATGCGATATAGTATTATCCAAAGATTAAAGTTCGAATATCGATGATTATCGATTACAATGACAATGTGGAGGCAGTAATGGATTCATTGAAAAATGCAGCTAGGATTCACGGGTATGCTTCAGTAGAGTATCTGATGTAAAAATCTCTTCGACTTGAACTGCCGAAAAAGAAAATTTGTATTCATAAAGGTAAGTCTAGCAAAACGGTCCTAGGATTTCAGAAATAGGGAATGTGCATTGAATATAGTAGATACCGGAGCATGATTACGACTTATTATTGTGACCAAAAATAGAGAGGAGCAGCATGGGGGACATTTGATGGAAAATCGAACAATTTAGATTGATGAATGAGAATATATAATTCTAGAAACCAAAGAGGCGTATTCGAGACATTTAATGCAAATGTTCGCATTAGACGAGTCAGGTACTCAAAACAAATTGATTACGTAAGTAGTATTCAGAAGGAGGAAAATAAACTGCCAAATAATCAATCATCTCCAATTGTGGAACATACGCACACATGTTGCATTAAATATATTCATCAGAGATAAATTTTTTGAGAACCATTGGGGTTTGAGGACAAAACTTAGGCTAAGGAATAGCAGCACTTACCAAAGCATTCATAGAAATTGTATAATGTAGGTGTGATGGGACGAACGCATCAATATGCTTGAGATATATTTCCGAAGAGTATTTCAATTGATATCAGATTGTTCTCAAGTCTCTACTTCGAATATGATATTGCTGTAGCATCAAAATAACAACATAGCACGACTTCAAAAAACTGTATCCTTTGTATTCGATTCTTTCTGCAATTTTTCCATCCTTTTTGTAAAAAAAATTATACTTGGAGGACAGAATAAAAAAATTGTGATGAGATATCATGATTCCTGGGAACAGAACAAGAAAATTTGATGTCGATCGAAGTACCCTCACGGGAAAAAAAATATATGCAAATAATTATACGTGATATATATGTGACATATTGCATTTTTCGCCGAAAATATATCTTACATATATGTTAGACATATGTCGAATATATATGGGTAATATATATGTGCTCGCATATATTCAGCATATATCTGATGTATTGCATTTTTCGCCGAAATATATGTGCATATAATTTACATATATTTCACATATATTCCGTTTTCCGTACGGGTAAGAAGGACAACTGTGAGAAATAACTTCAATCTTTCTCCTTATTTTCTTCATATTTCCTTGTCATGGCTGATAATTGCCTTTTTCACTCCTCTCCATGTATCTTAAAGACACGGATAAAAACACCATACAACTGGTATCCCGAAAATCCTTGGGAACAAGTTCATTTCAACTATTTCAAAGATTCATCAGACATGAAAATTTAGCTAGAAGTAATAAATGTATTCACTATGCGATAGCTAAATCGTCGCCAAAAAGCCTCACGAATCAGCTCGTCTACACGAAATTCTCTAAAAGGAGTCAGAGCCATTTACATTCTTAATAGACATCTCCATTCATCCCTCCCACGGATCACTGAGTCTTCATAAAACATCTTCTTTTGATGTTCTTCACTTACCAACGTAAATGAAGCGTCATTAACACCGTCGTGTATGCTATTGAAATGACAGGTCAAAACCGAGCACTTCAATTTTCCTCGTTTCAAAAACTCTTTCATCAACATTTCCAACCCTTGAATGAAAAAGTTTCGAGATATTTCTACGAATTCGCTCAACATTCATTCACCATTTCAATTAATTTCTTTCTGAGATTTGGAAACATCAGAAGCAGGGTCCGGGACTTCGTGCTCCTAAATCCGTGGGGGGCGCCGTACATGAAAAACAATGGAAAACTAATTGGAATCAAACAAACGAATGAAATGTCAAAAAATTTGCAGGTTGCATTGGAGTAAAAAATTGAGGTTCTTTCAAATCATGGGCCATGTGTAGGATAGGAAGATGATAGAATGATGTGGTTTTAAAGGGATTTCACCATGAAGGGGAGGAACAGGCTTTAAGAATGACTATTCTCTTGCCTTCTATTCATTTTAAAAGATCATCTGGCAACATTTTTTTTTAGGAAAATCCGGAATTTCCCCCCGAAGATGTTGCGATATGTGTGCTTCAGGGAATTTCCCTAGATTTCCCCCAGGACAGAATTTTGTCCAGAATTTCGTCCAGGAAATTTCACAGGATTTTCCCCGGTAGTTTTACTATATTTCCTCCAAGAAATTTCCCAGGATTCTCTCCAGGAAGTTTTACAGGATTTTCCCCAGGTAGTTTTACAGGATTTACTCTAGGTAGTTTTACTGGATTTCCTCCAGGGAATTTCCTGGGATTCTCTCCAGGAAGTTCTCTAGGATTTTCATCAGGAATTTTTACAGGATTTTCCCCAGGTAATTTGACAGGATTTTCACCGGGCAGTTTTATAGGATTTTCCACAGGAAATTTTACAGGATATTCACCAGGAAGTTTGACAGGATTTCTCCCAGGAAATCCTGTGAAATTTTCTAGTGGAAATCCTGTAAAACTTCCTGGAGAGAATACTGAAAATTTTCCTGGAGGAAATCCAGTAAAGCTACCTGGGGGAAATCCTGTAAAACTACCTGGCAGAACCCCAATTAAACTACCTGGGGAAAATCCTGTCAAACTACCTGGGAGAAATCCTATAAAACTACCGGGAAAAATCCTATCGAACTACCTGGGGAAAATCATGAAAAACTACCTGGGGGAAATCGTGTAAAACTACGTGGGAGAAATGCTATAAAACTACCTGGGAAAAATCCTGTAAAATTTCCTCGTGGAAATCCTGGAGAACTTCCTGGAGAGAATCCTAGGAAATTTCCTGGAGGCAATCCAGTAAAACTACCTAGGAAAAATCCTTTAAAACTGCCTGGGGAAAATCCTGTAAAATTTCCTGGTGGAAATCGTGGGAAATTTCCTGGAGGCGATCCAGTAAAACTACCTGGGAAAAATCTTTCAAACTACCTGGGGAAAATCCTGGCAAACTACCTGGGGAAAATCCTGGAAAACTACCTGGGGAAAATCCTGGAGAACTTCCTGGAGAGAATCCTGGGAAATTTCCTGGAGGCAATCCAGTGAAACTACCTGGGAAAAATCCTTTAAAACTGCCTGAGGAAAAGCCTGTAAAACTATCTGGGGAAAATCCTGTAAAATTTTCTGGTGGAAATCCTGGGAAATTTCCTGGAGGCAAACCAGTAAAACTACCTGGAAAAATCCTTTAAAACTACCTGGGGAAAATCCTGGAAAACTACTTGGGGACAATCCTGTAAAACTTCCTAAAGAGAATCCTGGGAAATTTCCTGGAGAAAATATAGTAAAACTACCTGGGGAAAATCCTGTGAAATTTTCTGGACGAGATCCTGTGTCGAAATTCTGGACAAAATTCTGTCCTGGGGAAAATCTAGGAAAATTCCCTGAAGCACACATCTCGCAACATCTTCGGGGGGAAATTCCGGATTTTCCTAAGAAAAAAATGTTGCCAGATGATCTTTTAAAATGAATAGAAGGCAAGAGAATAGTCATTCTTAAAGCCTGTTCGTCCCCTTCATGGTGAAATCCATTTAAAACCACATAATTCCATCATCTTCCTATCCTATACGTGGCCCATGATTCGAAAGAACCTCAATTTTTCACTCCAATGCAACCTCCAAATTTTTCGACATTTCATTCGTTTGTTTGGTTCCAATTACTTTTCCATTGTTTTTCATGTACACGGAGAAAAAAATTCCAGAATTTTTCAGGCGAAATTCAGGCAAAAATTACCGTGCCGTCTGGTAAAGTGGGTTCAATTGTCTAGCACCAGAAAAATCCCGGTGCTGCATAGTAAAAATTCCGGTACCGCAGAATAAAAGCTTGATCCCTGACTTTTCTATTACATGATAAATTACATTCAATAGTTAAAAATGAGTAAACATTGTCATTCAGCATATCATCCTATTAATTTTATTTTAACCTCTCCTCCATATCCTCTCTCCCATATTAAAAGCGCAATGCGCGGCAAACGTATGTGGAACGTTTGACAGGCCAATGTATCTCTACAGCGTTATACACTTCATGAAGAGAAAATAAAGGGCACTCATTTTTTTTCTTAACCGTTTTATCACAACACTAATTAATATTTCACTGAATTGATATTATGAAAAACATTAACCTGGGGTTTCAGTAAGGAGATATGTGAGAGAGGAGGCGACGGAATAAATCATCTGATCACGTTGAGTTGATGTTCGCGTTTGCGGAGGGGGGACGAAGAGTGCCGAAATCTTCCGAATGCGCGATCGANGATCGGGTCCTAGGATTCTGGTAGAGCACCGGAAAAATTTGCCAGTCAGTGTCATAATTTTTCTCGTATTTCTCGTAAAAATTCACTGTCGCTTCGATTTTACCGTGCTGCACAAGAATTTTTCCCCGCATTTATCCGAAAAATGACTCGTGCAACAGTACTTTTTCCTACTCTTTGCGGTACATTTCGCCTGGAAGACCATCTGAACCAACTTTACTGTGCGAGCACGGTAATTTTTCTCGTACATTTCTCTCCGTGTATGGCACCCCCCGCTGATTTAG